ATATTGTTAGGTTTCTTGACTAAATATTTTTTTGTCAGATCATAACTGCAAAATAATTAAGAATGTAATTTAGGGCTCGAAATAGCAACCATTTTGGTCGCATATGCGCCCAAAATTTTATCTATGCGACCTCAAAATATATTTGGGAGCATTTCTGCGAGTGCTTAAAATTGTTGTGTGCGACCAGTTACTGTAAAATGTTCAGCACATGCGCGGATTCGGGAGACGCAGAATGCATCTCTAAGCTCTTTGTCTGCACTTAACGCAAAACGCAGCTCTCAGGAATGGTTTAAAACAGTTGTCATGTCAACTTGCTGCAGTAAACAAAGCCAAGTCCGTAATGCTTGCCCCGCCTTCGCGCTCTTCTTATTGGCCCATCACTGCGCTAGCACTGAACGCGAATGATTGGTTAATATCAGCTGTCAATCACTCAGTCAGTGCGTTCTTGCTTAGGATGACAGAGAGAGCTACTACCGCGAAAAATTGTAAAGCGCTGAAGATGAGAATGAAGATAACACTGACAGATTTTGTTTTAGAAACCATGGCATCTAAAGTTATAAATAATGGCACATTTTAGTAGTGACCATGTGCTGAATGTTAATCCACCATCTACACATTTAGAAGAGTGGATAAGACTTCCATTGGCTTCAAGTCCGCTATGAAAAGTCTGTGGGATGGATTTTTAAGGAAACGTTAACTGTTTGCCACATCTAGCACGAGAGTTTCAGTTTAATCCTTCATATAATCGGCAGATGCTGTCCGCCGTGCAAGTGGCAGCTATAGGTCAAATTTAACACCACGTACACCATCGCAAACGGTCTTACACTGAGTAAACTAACATCGCCACTACGGACAATTCAGCTTACCCAATTCACCTATATCGCGTCGTTGGACTGTGGGGGAAACCGGAGCACCAGGAGGAAACCCACACCAACACGGGGAGAACATGCAAACTCCAAACAGAAATGTCAAACACTGACCCAGCCCAGACTCAAACCAGTGACCTTCTTGCTGTGAGGCGACAGGGCTACCCACTGTGCCACTACGACACCCTGCCTTAAAATCACAGAAATAAATGACATTTTTAAATGTATTTAGATAAAAAAAAATTCTTTTCAATTAAAAAAAAAGTTTCGTAATTTGACTTGAGAAGAAGTGACTACAGTTGTAAAACTTTTGACCAGCAGTGTGTGTGCATTCATCATAAGTCATTAAATTTTTCCATGGCTTGATTTATACAGCAAAATAATCACACAATTAGATTTTAGATAAAAGCTTGATACCATTTAATAGTCTTAGGTATAGATACTTGCCACAGACGAAAACTAAATACAACGAAGCAATCTAAAGTATTCATGGTTTAAACAGCATAAACTCAAACATTGGAACACGTTAAAAAAGCAGCTCTTTTTTATTTTTATTTGACTTTTTTAAGTGATTATGAGGGTTATGTTTAAAAAAACATTCATGAAGGTTCACAGCAAAATCCTCAGAGTAAAATTTACTCAGTTCAGAGAGTATTTGGTCCCTCTGTAAAATGAGTAAAATGTACTGAACGGCAGAGTTAAAGTTAATGAGACAATGAAGGGATTAATTATGTGTTGATGGAGGGCTGACGATGAAAACCTGCAGTTAATAAGCAAAAACAGAGAAGAGAAACGCAAAATTACAACTGACTCCAGTCACAGCCGTAGATGAAATAAACTGAAATAAAACACATCAAATCACTTAAAATCTCAGCAGAGGAT